TGCTTGGAATTCCAAAGGTGGAGTTGTATCTTTCTCTCTCAATTAAAATCAGTTTGATCATGGTGAGTGCTTGGGATTACAAATGACTCTCACTATGTTTGTTAATGTATTAAACCAAATGCTTGTTCTGAATTCTAAAGATTGATTTATGGTTTTCTCTCTCAATTAAAATAAACTAATAAAATTATGGAGTGTTAATTATTTTTAAAGGTGGAGACGTGGCGTTTACGCTTTCTCAATTAAAATCTATTAAAATGGAGAGTGCTTGGAATTCCAAAGGTGGAGTTGCATCTTTCTCTCTCAATTAAAATCAGTTTGATCATGGTGAGTGCTTGGGATTACAAATGACTCTCACTATGTTTGTTAATGTATTAAACCAAATGCTTGTTCTGAATTCTAAAGATTGATTTATGGTTTTCTCTCTCAATTAAAATAAACTAATAAAATTATGGAGTGTTAATTATTTTTAAAGGTGGAGACGTGGCGTTTACGCTTTCTCAATTAAAATCTATTAAAATGGAGAGTGCTTGGAATTCCAAAGGTGGAGTTGCATCTTTCTACGCTTTCTCAATTAAAATCTATTAAAATGGAGAGTGCTTGGAATTCCAAAGGTGGAGTTGCATCTTTCTCTCTCAGTTAAAATCAGTTTGATCATGGTGAGTGCTTGAGATTACATGTGACTCTCACAATGTTTGTTTAGCTCGATTTTGAGCAACAACAGTTGAGTCATTTCCCAGCACCCATTTGGGGTCACTTGCCATTGAAGCTCGAGCCACTCGAATGCAATCACTTGCAACCTCTCATTCTTCACAATTTCCTTATCTCTCATAATCAACATGTATCAAATCTTGCATAAAAACTTACAACTTTACCTTTGAATTTATCCTATATTTTAAATTTGCAACCAGAATCACAAGTTCAATTGTCGGCGAGCTTACAAAAGATAATGGAGAAGCTAGCGAACGGTAACAATTGAACAGAAGTGTGAGTACCTTTATAACCAGGTTAAAATTAGACCTTCTGGAAAAAAAAACAATTTAGGCTTGATTGTTAGAAAATATTTTTATTATTTAATTTATTACAGATAGCCAACAACCTCAACGTCAGAGTATACGAAAGCCAATAAAGAGCCTTGCAAGATCAAGAGCTTATTGGAATTGTGAATTAGGAATTGAAAACCAAAAACAAAGGTATGTTTTATTATATAAACTGAAATTTTTGATTTAATTGATCCATAATGTTGTTTGATGTTTAAGAAAAGCTCTCTCAGTTACATATAGATATACTAGGTGATAGAATTTTGGCTATGCGTGGTTCAAGCTCTGGAATGGAGATGTCAAGGACTTCTTTGCTTATGTTTCCTTTTTAAATTACTTGTTATTACAACAAATAGGTCGTAGCTAAAATTTAAAAAAGTTTTTCTTCCATATATGCCCTCAAATTTAGTGAATTTGCATCTTAAAAAAGAATAGTGATAATTAAACTATTCATCTAAAACTACCCGACCCTGAGCAACTATAGAAAGAAGTGTTATTATTTGCCTAATCCAATGATATGGATGAGAAGGGGAGCAACATTCAAGTATCCACATTTTTGTAGTTAAAGCAGAAGTTTTTTTTCTAATAGCCCAAAATGAATCTTTTTGGAATTTTTTCCCCTTTTCTTTTGGACTGTATGTATGATAACATGATTTCATCCCTCGTACTAAGAGAAAATCAATTACATCATTTTTTGACCATGAAACTTATGTCCTTCATTCTTTGTAAGAACCCTTAGGATAGGATGAACTTGCGAGTAATTACAAAGTTTTGAGGGACTAATATATAACTACTAAAAATTTCAGGGCTAATAACTAGATAACCCTAACTGTTTAGCTGTATAACTATAGTTGCTCTCTTTAGTTTACCACTGCCAATTGAATGTTTATCATGTTTCAGGTCATGATTTTCCTAGTGTCTAATATATATTATTATATATATATATATATATATATATATATAGTATATATATTATATATATATATATATATAATATATATATATATATATATATAAATAGAGAGAGAGAGAGAGAGAGAGAGAGAGAGAGAGAGCAGAGAGAGAGAGAGAGAGAGAGAGAGAGAGAGAGCAATATGATATTGCTTGGTACCAAACACAAAAAGTTGTGCTTGGTAGTGATGTGTCACATCCTCTCCACTCATTCAAATATAGGACACATTCACATGGGTAGTGAGTGGATGAGAATGTGACACATCAATACCAAACACAAAATTGTGCTTGGTACCAAGGCTATACCTTTTTCTCATATATATATAGAAATATGGGATGCTTGGTACCAAGCACAAATTTTGTTGCTTGGTAGGAGGTATCACATCCCCATCTACTTACTACTTCATATGAATTTGTTCCAACATTTGAATGAGTGGAGGGGATTTGACATCTCACTACCAAGCATAACTTTTATGCTTGGTACTACAAGATACTCATAATTTCTTTTAATATATATAATATATATATATATATATATATATATATATATTAATATATATATATATATATATATATATATATATATATATATATTATATATATATATATATATATATATATATATATTATATATATATAGAGAGAGAGAGAGAGAGAGAGAGAGAGAGAGAGAGAGAGAGATTAATGGGTATCCTTGTCATAGGAGGGATTTTCTCCTTGACGCCTCTAAAATCACATGATGAGCAATATTATGGATGATCCGCTCGTTATAAACTTGATCTACATATCTAAAACCCCAACACACACAAGTTTGGGGTGAATCCGTCGTCGTTTGACCTCCATCGAGCCATGTGAAAAGTTCTATTCATTCAAAACCGTTAAAATTGATACGAGTGGATGAAGGGTCAAACGACGACGGGTTCACCCCAAATTTGGTGTGTTGGGGTTTTAGAATATGTAGATCAAGTTCAACGGAGCGGATCATCCATAATGTCGCTCAATCATGTGATTTTAGGAGCGTCAAGGAGGAAATCCCCTCCTATGACAAGGATACCCATTAATCTCAATATATATATATATATATATATTATATATATATATATATATATATATATATATATATATATATATATTATATATATATATATATATATATATATATTATATATAATATATATAATATATATATATAGCTTGAATATTGGGAAGAACTATTGTAAGTTTTGTCATATAATTATATTGATGCATGCCTAGAAACAACTATTACTTCTATGTATGTCCAAAATCAAATACTATTTGTATGCTTATAACCATAGTTCAGGTTGTGATGAACAAATTTTTTAAAGTGAAGTAGACATTTTCCGTGTTACTAGGTATGTATAATCTACTACAAAATCTACATATTTTGCTTTGCATCACATATATAATCTATTTACATAATATATTACTACAACAATTATCATTACTTTTATTCTCAATATCGATTAGTTTTACACGTACATCATGCTCAGCCTAAGAAGCCAATAACAACAAATCGGTCAAAAAATTATTTATCCTTATTCATTGATACTCATTTTATTTGTAAATGTACGTACTAAAACACCCAAAACTTCTTTCCAATAATTTTCTATAAATAATTCTTTATCTTTTTTCCTTCAAGCTAGTGTACTACCTTCTTGCCCATGAAAAATTTAGAATATAAAATAAGTATGCCACATGCATTGCCCATGCACTATACTAGTCAAAGTCAAAGGATGCATTTCATGCTACTATGTATCATTTTCTTAGTAGAGTGACTTCTTATTTTTGAGACATAAAATGCTTTATAGCTAACTTTAACTATTTCATGTAATTGGAGATATGTTAATGCCTTTAAATTATTTTTTGTTAATGAGTACTTTCTCCATCTCATTCGATTACTCTTGCAATTCAAAACTTTTTTTTAGCTTAATGCCATAGTTACACCTTTTATCGGGACTTATCTCTATTTCTAAATATCTTGCGACCAATGATATTTTGATGAGATACAGTTATTCTAATTCAAGTCTATCAAAATATTTGCAAGTGGTGAAGACCCAAGATCTTTTTGAAATGATGTATATTGAACATCTCATACTAAAACATCAGAAAATCTTAAATAATACATATTCGAGTAATTTACTCATAAAGTTATTTTTAGTTAACATCCCTATTGAACATCGTAAAGTCTCGCAATTGGCGAAGACCTTAAATATTTTAAAACGACACGTATTGAACATCTCATAATCAAAGAAGAGGAGTTTTCGAATAACATTTAAAATTTAAGGGGAGGAGGGTTTTCTGATAATATCTTAAATCTACAACATATATGCAATCCAGGAAAACCATATTGGTTTTTAAACTTAGGACAAAAATGGTTAGGAAAAAGATAAATAATTGCTTTTAAAAGAGTCATCAAGCTAAATTATACGTGTTATCTAGTTATCGGCACTGGTAGGCCTGCTCTTTTCTTAAATTATAGTTACGTAAAAACTTAGGACAAAAATGGTTAGGAAAAAGATAAATAATTGCTTTTAAAAGAGTCATCAAGCTAAATTATACGTGTTATCTAGTTGCCGGCACTGGTAGGCCTGCTCTTTTCTTAAATTATAGTTACGGTGATGAGTAGAGTTGAAGGAACAAAACGATTTATGAGAAAACTAGATAGTATTAAGAAAAACATAGTTCATGTGATACAAAAGAGTCCGTTAATATGTTCATTATAACTAAAAATTTAAGATTAGACATCTTGATCATCAAAATTAACCACAAATCCATAATCTAAGAATCGAAACTATCGTAAGAGTATGACTACTATGTATTCGGATATTTCGAATATGGATACGGATATTTCACTATAAAACTATATCCTATCGGTTATAGATTTGAATAACCATATCCGTATCCGTTAATGGATACATACGGTAACTATATTTCCTCGGATACGGACCTCAGCACCCCTACACCCGACCCGTTAACAGTCCTTCGCCCCGTTCTCTCTCTCGCCCCCTCGCCCTCCCCTCCCGTTCTCTCGAGTCTCGCTCTCGTCCCCTACTCTCTCTCTCTCTCTGAACCTCAAATCGATCCAATCCATCAATCTTAGTTCCGAAGCTCGAACCCTAGCCTGATCAACTTTCATTTCACATCGAAGCAAACCCTAGCGATCTCCTCCACCGCCTCATTCGCTCTCAACGCCTCCATTATCAGAGTAAGTTCTCGCCGAGGAAAACCGTAAACCCTAATTTTAGCCCAGCTTACACCCCCATTTCGTTCTGTGTTGGCCAGATCTTGGAGGCGAGAGGGTCTCCGATCCTTCATCTTCATCATCATCATCTCGAAGTTGTAGCTGCTCGAGCGCTGAGGCCGTCGCTGCTTGCGTCACCGTTGACGCCGCTCAAACTCATTGAGGTCTCGCGTTTTCAGGTAATTATTCTATAACTTATATTTTAGGTCTTCTGATTTTGTGATTTTAACAATGGAAGAGGAATTAAAGAAATCCTATAATTTTGGTCTTTTGATTGGATTCAGTAGCAAAGAGTGTCAATTTTGTAACATATGTTCCTCATGATGAACTAGAAACAATTGCAATTGAACTCAAATTGATTTTGGTTCTACATCAAGGTTTTATTTTTATTTTGAATATACATGAGGTTTGTAGCTGGTTATTTATGTGCTGTGATGACTTTGAGCAGTTCATAAACATTATCGCCTCTCAGTTGCATTTTTTTTAAAGCTTATCCAAGTTGGGGGTAATGTAAATATAGCTTTCACCGCTGATTGACCTACTGAATAATATGTCAGAATGCAGCAGGACTCACTGGTGGTCAAAGTTGTCAAACAATTCAAATAAAGCTCTTAATTAGTTCAAACTGAAGTGTGTTGATGGGGTATTTTATAGGGTGTTATGGACAGGTGCATATATGATATATCTACTGAATGATTATGTTTTCATATATCACACATTAGTTAGGAGTGATATGATAGGAAGAACTTGCATTTGATTATTTGTCTGGCTTGAATATATATCATAATCTAGCCTTCTGTTCCTGAGGTTGTTTCTTGCAACTGGCGATGATTAGTTTTCAGCATGATATCAGTTTGAAAGGTTCTAATGACTAGTCTTATGGAGATTGATCTTGGTAGCTGCCATACTTTTAGCTATTTGGCTTTGGGACACACTTGTTAATACCATATGTTCTGCAGTAAATGACCAGGAGTATTGTATCAACTATGTACCAGACAAAAATACAACTTCCTCGTAGAATACTTTGTTACATCAGACATAAGGTGTCATTTTGATTTATGACCTTATGGTCATTGCACTTGGAATTAAGGGGTTAGCTTTTTATATGCAATTAACTTTCACATTATTTTAAAGGTTATTACCTCTTCTCCTTGATTAATTGTTGGGGTACATTTCATAAAAATCTCCAGTAATGTCAGGGAGGTTTGCTCAGATCTTCCCCTCAACCTTATAAACCAGATAAAATCTAGTGGTATTTCAAATCTGTACTAGACTCCCTGAACTGTCAAAAAATCTCATAAACAATGTTAACATGTAGAGTAAAAAGTCAAAAATGTGACAAAGTTGTTCTTGCTCTTTAAAATGAATGTTTTTCATTCAAATTTGTCATGACAGATTTTGATTTCTCATAATTCAATCTTTATTTATGTACCAATTACATCGTTTGAAATTTTCCAATAGTGTAAGGGGCTTTATTTTAATTCTGAAAGCACAGCGGAACATGCCATCCAACCATCTTTGAAGTTTTAAACTGAAATCTTGCAGAGGTTTAACATGTAGAAGCTAAAACTTTCTATTTCATTTGTTTGTTAGTATTATAATTACCTTTCTTTGGCTCTTACTTATTGATTTATATTAATTAGCATGATTTGAGAGTGATGTAAAGATTTGATCTTTGTTGCTGGTTTGCAGGTGGGAAGGTGAAACCCTTCAAGCAACCCAAGGTTGACTAGAAGGAATACGACGAGGTAAAATTTTGATCCCCTTGAATTCGTATTTGTTTTCCATTAGATTTTGATAAGAAAGGTTTGATCTTGATAGGAAATATCTGTTCTGATTATGAACTGTATTAAAGGTTGAAAACTAGGTTGTACTTGAGAAGTTTAATAGTTATTTTGGTAACTTTAGTAGAGAATTCATGCATATACTGTCTTTTGCTTCGATTGTTCTAAAAACTTTTAGAAACTTTTTTGAGTTGTGTGCTGCATTTAGAATCAATAATTATGGTACTAGAATGAAATGTCTCAACTTGTAAAAATTATGCAGTTCTTGACGCATATACACCTATTAAATTTCTATGAATATCAAACAAAAATATTCACTAATAAGTTCATGAATTTAATACTGCAAACATCCTCAAATGCTATCTACAATATGCTGCAGTTTAATCATAAAATTCTTTAGACCTTTTTACTGCAAATTCTCCGTTTTGCGATCTCAACAGCTCAACTGCTGCATTTTGACATGCGGCTTCAGATTGGGAAAATTCTCCGTGGTAATAGTTTCTCAAGTTTGAAATTTGAATATTTTGTATATTGTTTGGTGATTCATTGAGGTTTGATCTTTTAATTTGCTTAAATTTAGTCTTTCATTCTAATTCAGCCTCGAGATGGGTGAGGGATAAGGAAATGACAATCTGGATTATGATAAATGTTAGAGCAGCATGTATGGCTATTGAATGTTACACATATTAGTTAATGGCATCGGTTTTCTGATCCAGTGGGCCACCATATATACGCATAGTTTGGCTCAGGTCATTTTCCTCTACATCTAGCTTAGAACTCTTTCACATGCATTTATATAACTGATATGAGTAATAACTAATTGGCATAAATAATATAACTTATTTTTTTGTCTGCAAGCTTCTTTTAAATTTGTGAAATATTGTATCTTCTATCTACCAATGTTATAACTAATACAAATATTCACCTCTAAATAATATCACTACACTTTTCTGTATGCTGCTTCTTTTTCTCACTATAGAATATAGAGTACCATCCAGAACACATGCACTTAAAATGGCTTTGGACCCCACATACTTGTAAGCAGTGCGTCGATTTTAAGGAACCAATTTGTGTATCGGAGGGATTCGATTTGCAAATGTACCGGGAATCAGTTCGCTAGAATTGTACTATGGTTGGAGGGCTTCCAATGAAATACACAACTACGATCTAAACATGTCAAAGTTCACAATTTACTAGTAGGAAATTCGATTGTAAGGTCACATATTATTTAGAAATTTTGGATGAATTAATATAGCCCAGCTGATAATTGTAGCAATTTTAGACTTTTAAAAATTTTCTCTTACAACAAAGTTTGAACTCCATGAATATAATATATGTTCCTTCTGTTATTTGAAAAAAAAGGTTTTTGACAATGCAGGCATAGGGATCAACGATTTAGTGGCTAAAACAAATTTGTCAACCTTGTTGTCCATGATAAGATGAGTTTAGACCAATTTGGGCTTATTGTAAAATTGAGTCAAGGCCTGTAACCATTCTTCAAGCAGTAGAAATAATCTTCACATGGTGATGAACGGTGTAAATAAGTCATTTTTTACCGGGGCTATGAAGTACAAGTACTTTCCCGTTTAATAAGCAAAGGTGAGGAGGATGCCTCCTAGCCACTTGAGAATGCAGTTTCAGATTAAGGAATACACAAAGGATGAAATTTACTAGTCCACACAGGAAAGTTGATCCTTTCTCTTTGAGGTTCCATATAAACTATCTACTTATATGAGAAGATACATCTTTTAGATAAATGTAAGCATGGTCTTTGTCTCTAAGATACCCAAGGGTATCCCAAAAGTATCAAATTTAGTAAAGTTGCAAGTGTTTCTACTCGTGAGTCTCTTATATTGGCCATATGGCTAATTGCGACAATGTTATCCCTACTTGTTTACTTCTCCAGTCCATTTTCATTTCTTTTTACTGTTCAAAATACATTCCCTCTTGTTTTCTTAATCCATTGCAAACAACTGACAAACTCTAATATTAAATCAGTGGCGCATAATGGAGTTTTGTCCAACTTGTGGGATGATGTTGCAGATTGAGCCTGCAAGCAGTGGGCGTAAGATGAGGTTCTCTTGCCCAACTTGTCCGTATGTTTGCTCCAATGAGAGCAAGGTAAGTCCTTAAACTAACAGAGGACTATCGTCTCTCTTTTTGACAATTGTTACTCATCATTTTCTCTTTCTTTGTGGATTTTAGATTGTTAGGAAAGTAAAACTTAAGAAGAAGGATGTTGATCCCATCATCAGATGGGAAGAGTCCATGCAATCCCTCCCCAAAGGCCAAGGTAAACTTGTAACCTCCACTTGAGCTCTTTTGGATTCTACTATATATTGATAGAATTAAATGATACTTGAAATTCAAATGCATATCTATAAGATCCTATTACATGCTCTGCAAGAAACAAATTGAAAGGTGATCACTTTATACTCTTCAGAGACAAATAAAACATGTCAACCCTTTTAGGCTCTTGATTTAATTTACTCCAACCATGTGCAATTGACAATGTATCTGATTCGATTCCTTTTCTACACGGCGGAACTGTTTTTTATAGAAATACTTTGAAGTTAAGATACACTGTTTTGATGATTCAAGCTCGCATGTTGGCATTGTGGAAGATAGCACAATGTAAATCTAGCGCTTGTGCAACCATGTTATTTTATCTAAACTTCTTTGGTACATTCCCCTTTCTAACAAGATCAGAAGGGGAAAAAATTAACAGCTTCTGAATCACTTTTAATAATTACCTAATCGGCTAATCTAAAGCATGTGTGATATCAATGACAATGGACTGACATATATTACTATGGGTAGTATTGTGAAGAAACAAAAGGTTTTGTAAGTAGTGGGTTCCTGGTTTCAAACTTGCTTTGGAGAACAGGCATTTTGTTTAGTCTGACATCAGATGTTCTGTAAAACTATTTGGCAACCTATCCTTTATAATTTATAGTACTATTGGTATTGGCCAATCTTTATTCTTGGTATCTTCAAGGACATCAACAAATATATCAATTGATTGGAGTGCAAAGTTCTTGGGCCTATAGAGGGACCAGAAGATTGCAACAGTACTTTCTGGAGAATTTAATTTCCCTTCGTAGGGAGTATATTCTTTCAAATGTCAGAGTTTATCATCTGAATTGGTCACCACCCGTAGATGACAGTAGATGTTTGATCAATGCTTAAGGGTTAGATATCATGGATAACATTAAGTAATCTCATGTCATTTGAATATGGATTTAATCTGGGTAAATTGTTTTGTCTGAAAACCTAGGGAGAAGTAAACAAGTAGGGATAACATTGTCGCAATCAGCCATTTGGCCAGTATTAAGAGACTCACATATAGAAACACTTGCAACTTTGCTAAATTTGATAGTTTGGGATACCATTGGGTATCTTAGAGACAAAGACCATGCTTACATTTATCTAAAAGATGTATCTTCTCATATAAGTTGATTGTTTATATGAAACCTCAAAAAGAAAGGATCAACTTTCCTGTGTGGACTAGTAAATTTCATCCTTTGTGTATACCTTAATCTGAAACTGCATTCTCAAGTGGTTAGGAGGCATCCTCCTCACCTTTGCTTATTAAACGGGAGGGTACTTGTACTTCATAGCCCTGGTAAAAAATGACTTATTTACATCGTTCATCACCATGTGAAGAATATTTCTACCGCTTGAAGAATGGTTACAGACCTTGACTCAATTTTACAATAAGCTCAAATTGGTCTAAACTCATCCTATCATGGACAACAATCATGGACAACAAGGTTGACAATTTTTTTTTGTTTTAGCCACTAAATCGTCGATCCCTATGCCTGCATTGTCAAAAAGCTATTTTTTGAATAACAAAAGGAGCTTATATTATACCCAATGGACTTCAGACTTTGTTGTAAGAGAAATTTTAATAGTCTAAAGGTGCTATAATTATCAGCCGGGCTATATTAATTCATTCGAAATTTCTAAATAATATGTGACCTTACAGTCGAATCTCCTACTAGTAAAATGTGAACTTTGACATGTTTAGATCATAGTTGTCTATTTCCGTGGACCTCCTAGAATCGTAGTATAGTTCTCACGAACCAATTCCTAGTCATTTGCAAACCTATTCCCTTTGATACACGAATTGGTTCCTCAAAATTGATGTACCGCTTACAAGTATGTGGGGTCCAAAGCCACTTTGAGTGCATGTGTTCTAGACGCAACGCAATGTATACAATCAAGTGAAGGGAGATGCACAATAAAATATATGTGTCAATGTGTCTACTATAACTAAATACCTATCTTAATAAAACATGATATGAAACCGTCAACACGAGCTATGTGAAAGAGAAATAGAAAAAGAAAACTCGAAAAAAGAAAGGGAAGAAGAATAAAATTTACTCAAAAATGCAGACACCAATCTGAAAAAAAGAGAACAAACTCCATAAAAAAGAGCCATTTAAATACTTTATATTGTAAACTAGGTAATTAGATAGAGTTAATTAACCATGTAGCACTAACCATGTAGCACTAAACAACTACTACTAACTCTTTAACTCTCAACACGCTCCCTAAAGCTGAGCATATATATTATGGTGCCTAGCTTGTCACAAATAAAGCTCACTGGTGTTCTCCTAAGAGGTTTCGTAAGAATATCTACAAGTGGATGCTCTAAGGGTATGTGCTTGGCTCAAATGATCCCTTTCTCCATCTTCTCACAAATCAATTGGTAATCAATCTCAATGTGTTTTGTCTTCTAATAGAATACCAAATTCTCAGCTATGTGAATGACGATCTTATTGTCTCCATACAAACTCATGGGACATTAAGGAGGAAAACCGCTTTCTGTCAATATGTCTCTAATCCAGACAAACTCGCAGGTCAAATTTGCCACGTCCCGATACTAGGAATCAGTTGTAGATCATGAGACTACACATTGTTCTTATTCTTCCATGGGACGAGGTTTTCTCTAAGAAACATACATAATATCCAGTAGTTGATCGTCTTTCCATTGGAGATTCTTCCCAATTTCCATCTGAGAATTTGTGCGACTCTCGAGTGACCACTATCTGAATATAGAACTCCATTCCTGGGAGTTTTCTTAAGATATATAAGGATCCTCTTCATAGCCTCCATGTGGAGTGTCGTGGGTGCCGAGAGAAATTGACTAACTACACTTACAAGAAATGCAATATCTTTTCTAGTAATTGTCAGGTAGTTCAGCTTCCCTACAATTCTTCTCTACAAGTCTTTTGTATTTTTTCGGTATCTTCAAATAACTCTCCCTGATCTGGTATTACTTTGATATTGTCATCCATATGTGAGTGAATGCCTTTGCATTCTAGCATCTCAACATTTAACAATATATCAAGCAAATATTTTCTATGAGATAAGAGAATTCTTCTCTTCAATCTAGCCATCTCGATCCCCAGAAAAATTTCAAGGAGCCAAGATTTTTGGTGTAAAATTGTAGTTGTAGATGCTCCTCCAAGAGAATTTCCTTTTGCAATCTAAGCCATCTCAATACCCAGAAATTATTTTAAGGATCCAATAATATTTTAAGGATTCAATATTCTTGGTCTGAAACTGCTGTTGTAGATACTTTCAAATGACTAATGCGCCGAGTATCATCTCCAATCACAATGTCATCAACATATACTATCAGAAGGATTCGTTTCCCACCATGAAGTCTCTAGAAAACCGAGTAGTGTTTCTAAGCTTGACGAAGACCAAATTTCTAGACTATTCCTACAAAACGACTGAACTAGGCCCTCGGTGAAGAAACAACGTCACGAGGTGTCGAACAACAAGTTTGATTGTGCATGCCTCAACTGACTGATTTCAGTAGCTAGAAACTTAGTTTCTGAGTTTGCATTATAAAGCTAGCTGTGAGCCTGCTGGCTCTGCTTTGAGCTGGCTAGTTAAGCATTCAGTCGGCTGGACTGATTGTTCCAGCTGCCTGATAACGTGCACAACTTCGTACTTTTGATGAGTATTAATATCAAACAACTAAGGTTGGTTGTTGAACTACACACAATTGAACCGATAAGGTTAGGAGTCATTAATTAATCACCTATTAAAGCACACAAAGCATTTGGTGAGATACATAACTCTGGTATAGACTATAAAGGACTCGATTATTAGTATATGGATATTTGGTTCAACCGCTTTACTTAGAATGTGTGCGACGAAGTTACCAAAAAATGATTGACATATTCCATTGGTTCACTTTTAGTTGCATACAACAAAGTATGTGAAAGATACAAAGCCAAATGACTCACTAAAAATGTGCACGAAGATGTGCATGTTTTTAGGTTGCTGGGATCTATGAAGCACGGACACGGACACGGCGACACGGACACGACACGGACACGGATACGGCAAAACCCCAAAAAATAGGATACGGCGATACGGCTAGATTTTTTAATTTTCACTACTTTCATCTTGAGCATATAAAAATACAAGAGAATAAAGTTCAAGTTGCAACTAGTTCAATGACTACAAAATACTAAGTTACTAACATTGCAAAGATATAAAAATTACACTCAAAAGCATATCTTAAAATAAAGTTTTCAAGTTGAAACATCAAAAAGATTATTCTATGGATTCAACTCTTTCATCCTCATCAAACACAATAGCCTCCATCGTGGGCTCGTCAAGAGAAAGGGCAGCAACATCTAACATGCCGGCTCCTTGAAATGAGTCGAAGGCATCTCCACCAATATCCCACATTCTTGATTCCCCTTCCATATACTCTTCCGAATTCCGAGAAAGTAAACGAAGGTTGGTGTGAACATAAACAAGATCCTCCGCTCGTGTCGGGGTTAGCTTGTTCCTCTTTAAGGAGTGAATGAAACCATACGTACTCCAATTCCGTTCACAATAAGAAGATGAACAAGGTTGGCCTAGAAGCTTTATGGCCAATGCTTGTAAATTTGGAGCACTTGCACCATAAAGAAGCCACCATGACTTTGGATCCATATGTCCTCTATCGGAAAGAGAATCCGGATCACCAAAAGCCTCCAAAGACCCCACAAACTTAGCATATTCCAAGTTCACCACCAATCGTTCATCGGGGTTAGGATAATATCTTCTTAAGCACTTTGATCTTTCTGTAGAGATCTCAAGATCTTGATTTGGAGGTTGCCGATTGACGTTCTCATTGAGCCATGTGGAATGATAGTACCTATGTTTGTGAGAAGAAATTCATGAATTAGCCCACAATATTCGCATTAAAGAGTAAAATATGAAATATTACCTTGGAACTAAAGAGTGTGCTAAGCACTGAAGCGGGGTGTTGCCCTTGTT